CCTCCAGTCTCAGGGAAAGGTTGAAGAAGAGGCCAGTGTCACAGTGGGCTCATCCACCTCCGGCATTTTGAGAAAACTTCGGTGCCAAATTATAATATCATTTATCGTACTCTGTTGGGGCTGGGTAGGATGCTGCTGATGCCCATTGATTTTGTACTAATTCAGCAAACATACGAGGGACAGGAATAGTTTCTGCCTCATTAGTCAGTTGTGAGAATATTAGATCCTCGAATTCGTCCTGAGACCCTGTTGACAATGGATGAGGGCTTGATGTGCCTAGTTTAGCGGTGTTCTTTGCTTTGAACAGTAAAGATTTAAAGAGGTGCGGACAAAAAAGGCCAGAAAAGATAGGTTGGTCCGGAATGAGGCCTTCGTCCTCCGACATTCCTCGTTCTAGTAGGTCAGCCTCTGACAACCCCAAGTCCATTGGATGGATCGACCCCACCCCCATGGGAACATCCTGGTCATCTAATTCCACCTCCTCCCGAAGACCCTGGACTGGTATGTCAGGAATATTGGGGAATACCTGAGTTTGATGATGTCCCATATGTGCAAAGGATCGAGCAGCCAGGGATCCCACTTCCGAAGTAGCCGAAAAGTGTCTGGTCCGGATGGATTGCTGAAGTCCAGCCGCAATTCCCTTTTGTATGGCCATCTCCATCCATTGCCTCATTTCGATGGGAATAGTCTCAGGTGATCCCTCCTCCTGTCTTAAACCGGCGGCCGTAGGGGTAAAGGTTGCCTCTGGGATTCGCTGGGCAGTGCTCATTGGAGGAGATATGCCTATGGGAGGCTGTCCAGAAATAGCCTGTCTGGGCTGGGTGGATAAGTCCAAGGGCCCCAACAATGTACTTGGGCCCTGATCCGATTGTTGTGTCATAGCCATCTTGTCCGCCTCTCTGGCCTGTTTCTGCCACTGCCTTTCCAAGGCTTGGTGCTGTCTATGGCCATCCTTATCCCCTGCCTTAGAGGCCTTTTTGGGGCTCACTGACTTATCTTGGGACTTATTTGTCTTGGAGCAGAAGACGTTGTCACCTTCCATTGTGGAGGACTGATTCTCGTGCCTCTAACTTTAATTTTTTTAAAAAATTATTTATTATTATTATTGTTGTTGTTATTATTATTATTATTATTATTATTATTATTACTACTACTACTACTACTACTACTACTACTACTACTACTACTTAGGGGTGATGCCTACCCCTGTGGTTGAAAGTAAAACGCTTCTCCAGGAGTGTAAGTCTATATACATATATCTATATACACACACATATATGTACATATATATATGTGTGTGTGTATATACGTATGTGTATATAGATATATGTATATAGACTTATACATATGCGTGCCTATATCTACATGTAAAACTGTGAATATGGGAAACAGTATCTAAGGGTCCCCAACAAGGGAAACCCCCAAGCGCTCCAAGCAAGAAATATTCTGGATCCCTGCTCCCCAACAAGGGAAACCAGCTTTTCAGGGCCTGGATGGATCCTTTCCTGTCAAAAACGTCCCACTGTTTGAAATGGCACTTGCAGCTTGACTTCAATGTAATGACCCAAAAGCAATTGCAAAAAGAAAAAAATTCCTGTTTAAGGACTAGCCTGCTTATCCAATGCCAGCAAGATAAAAGAGAAATAATGCCAGGGAAGTGGAGTGGGAAGGTACCTGTCCTGGTCCCCAAGAAGGGAAACCAGCAGGGGATGGCTCCTGTGATATTTAGGCGCGAACTTGAAGCCAGCTGTTGAAAATGGCGGGAAGGCAGAATCTCCGGTGTTAATTGCCTGAGCAGTTTAACGAGCCGCTGCTGTTGACTCTCTAAATTGTCAGATAAATGATCCTGTTAGTCGAAGTGGCAAGGAGAAGTGAGCCGCGGCTGCGAGCACTCCGCCAAGATCGCAGAGATAAGACGATTGGGGGATTAGATAAGCTAATTGCCTGAAGCGACTGTCTCAGGCTGCCTGCGGAATGGCAGGCTCCGCCAGCCACAAAGAACTGCTCTCAAACTGATCGGGGGGATGACCTAATAGAGCCACAAGCCTTGAAATTGCCAAATTAATTGGGGAAAAATTTACAAGCCGAACTAACCCAAGAGCAAACCTGAATTTTGACTAGAAAACCGTTCCAGTCAGGGAGTGCACAACCTCTTACCACGAAGGCTGAGCTAAAACTGTGGGACGCTGGGGAGGTGTCCCGTGGAGGAGGAGGAGGAGCGTCCCGGAGTTTTAAGCCTAGCCTTTCCAGAAGAGACTGAAGCACCTCCCACTTCTGGATGCTCTGAACAGCTCATGGGAGAAATAGAAGAAGGGAGGAGGAAGAAACATTAGGTATGTTTGCTGCTTTGAGTTATTTATAAAAATAATAAAGATGGGATTTTAAAAAATCGCCCTTCTTGCTGAGAATGAATTAGTCAAGGTTAGAATTGGCCAGAGAAAAGAGAGGCAAGATGTTAGAGGTTCTGGAATTATTGTAAGAGAGTAGTGATGTGCTATTTCTTGCTTTTTTCATTGAATGGTTTAAAATGACTTGGGAAGTGTTAAGCTATATAAACTGAACATGTTTCCAAGGAATAAAATTATTTGGATGGATTTCAGAATATATTCATATGTATACTTATTTAGTAAGTGTTGAAAACTTAATGATACCTAAAATAGTAGAAACCTTTAAATAAAGCTTACTGCTATTGGCAAAATAAGATATATTACATTTTTTAATATTTTAATAATTTGCTGCATTTTAAGAGCTTTTATATATTTCACTAAGGAATATAGTGGTGTATATTGTCTCAGTGTATCAAATTAATCAATATGGTATAGATTAATTAGCCTGAGGAGTGATGTAGATATGTATATCATTAAATAAGTAAAGTAAATACTTTCTAAAGTAAAGTATGACTATACTAAACCTTAAAATTTACTTGTTGCAATCCGCAACAGTTTTGTTTACACAATCTAACAAAAAATAAACTCACATGTTGGCTTGGCATGATGTGTGGATCCAGATAGTGTATATTATATGGTGATATTCATCGTATGTTAATATAAACTGAAACTAGTTATAGTCATTGGTCAGGGTAAACGTTATTGCCAACAGAAGCAGAATCCATTAAAGTATAACTCATGTACAACTTTCTATACTAATTTTATCAATCTGTTCCTTTTCCTTTCAAGCCACCAGGCTTCTCCCCATCTCCTAGCACTTCGTTTCTAATTAAAGTGTTCTTTCCATGGTTAATAAACAATCACACTTTTTAAAGACAAATGACTAAGATGGAGCTAAGAAGAGTAAGACTGTGTCTCTAACAATATGCTTCATTTCCAATAGCAAAGGTGGTGGAGAGAGATTGGTTCTGTTATTTATATGGTGGTGTACTCAGTAATATTGTACATTATTATTTGCAGGATTGTAACAGTACAGGTAGTCCTTGACTTACAAGCACAGTTGTGCCCAAAATTTCTGTCATTAAGTGAGACATTTGTTAGGTGAGTTTTACTCCATTTTACGACTTGTTGCCACAGTTGTTAAGTGAATCACTGCAGTTGATAAGTTAGTAACCCAGTTGTTAAGTGAATCTGGTTTCCGCATTGGCTTTGCTTGTCAAAAAGTCGCAAAATGTGATCACATGACCTTAGGACCCAGTGGTCATAAATATGAACCAGTTGCCAAGCATCTGAATTTTGATCACATGATCATGGAGATTCTGCAAAGGTTGTAACTGTGAAAAACGGTCATAAGTTACAAGTCAGTGCCGTTGTAAGTTTGAACGGTCATTAAATGAACTATTGTAAGTGGAGGACTACCTGTAATGTGTTATATCTTTTATGAGCTCGGTTTTAGTGAATCTGAGCTTGAACTGAGGAAAATCTAGAAAAGTAATCCCTCTATAACAGCCTTTCTCATCTGGCCTGCCCTCAGGATGTATATGAGCTTAAATACTTATAATTCCCAGTGCTGATGATTTTGAGAGGTGTAATCAATATTTCAGGAGGATGACAAGATTGCAATGTTTGTTTATTAATTTAAAATATCTTTCAAATTAATTATATAGTAATCAGTAATAAAATTTAACAAAATTAAAAATGCTTGGAAATATGCTTGAACATATTCCGGTTATATTCTCTGTTCAAAACATTAATAAGGATACCTTTCTTGAGAAGAGAGGGACATTCGCATAAGTAGTTTTGCTAGTTTAATGAACTGTTTTTTAGAGAAATCTGTAAACTGCTATCCTGTCTTGGCAGTTGTGAGAACACTCTAGAACAGGACTGTCAAACTCCTGCTCTGCAAGATGTGTCACATGCTGGCCATGCCCAGTTTAATGAAGGGGAGAAAGTCCCAAGATGTTATATGACGACGTGAATTTGAACCCCCTGCTCTAGAACGAGCACACTATTTTGATATTGCCGTTAGTAAACGTAATAAGCAATACTAATACTCTTCATTACTGCATCTCATGTGTAGCAAGATATTTTATCACCAGAAATGAAAAGGGAGGCATTGCTAAGAGCTGAAACAAAAACTGTTGTCTCCTCAGTCCAGCCTCAGCCCCACCTAGAATATATTGTCATGTAGCCTGGTGATTTGGCTTATTGACATGTGCTTTTTATAGACTGCTTCTGTGCAACATTATAATTTTGGCCAGCTATATATTTTGAAACTAGGTTTTTCTGTAACACTTTTGATACTCATCCTGTTTTTCTTCTGTTCTTACCATTACCAAAAATGGACTCTTAAGAAAATATATTTGTTTTAAATAGAATATATTCAGGTTTATATTTCCTGAGCATACAATTTGGTTTTGGATTATAGAGTCAATAATATACAGAATATACAACGTCATAGCTATAATCATTTGGTGCTGCTATTAGGTAGCTCACAGCTTTTTTAATGTTAATTTCATTCAGATCCTATTATTATCATGTATGTTCATTTCTACTGGGTTTCATATGTTTTAGCATGCCTTTTTACTTGTCGTTGTATTTGGTACTTCCTAGGTATTACAGGGAAGAACTACAAGAAACTGAAGCATCATGGCAGATGATAGTGAATGGATGAAATTACCCATTGATCAAAAATGTGAACACAAGGTAAGACTACCTTGTTTAAGGAAGGTACTTCCTTTATTTACTGAGTGATACGTTGTTTTGAGTTTAAGGAAATAATATTTTCAAAATCTTTCCACATGCTAGTTTAACTCTAATGCATTTGATCAAAATTGAAGATGTCTCCACAGGAACTACTGTTAGTCCTCGACTTACAAAAGTTAGTTTAGTGACAACGGCACTGAAAAAGAGACATATGACCATTTTTCACACAACCATTGCAGCATCCCCATGGTCACATGATTTATATTCAGGTGCTTGACAACTGGTTTATATTTATGATGGTTGAGAGCATCCTAGGGTCATGTGATCAGCTTTTGCGACCTTTTGAAAAGCAAAGTCAATGGGAAGCCAGATTTACTTAACAACCATGTTACTAACTTAACAACTGCAGTGATTCACTTAACAAATGTGGCAGGAAAGGATGTAAAATGGGGCAAAAGTCACTTAACAAATTTCCCACTTAGCAAGGTAAAACCTGGACTCAATTATGGTTGTAAGTTGAGGACTACCTGAATTTGTCTTGGCTACACTGTGACATTTATTTTTAATTTATCTATTTAGAGTAATAAAACAATAGAAATTCTTGTTTTTTTGGTTGGGAACAGACCTTATAAATATGCTTTCATCTGAGGTCAGTCTAGGGTTTAAGAAAATTGCATTTCTACCTTGTCACCCAGTAATTGTGAGTGGTGATAAGAGCAAATTTTAAATGGTGGTCTGTTTATATATTTATAGCTTTGAATGTTTATATAAAAATAAGACTCCACTGTTCAGCTCTTGCTTCAAAGAGTTATCTTCTAAATTTTTCTGGACTCATCTTTCTGTCCTGTAAACTGATATAATTTATATCTCTTCAAAAGCATTAATATATCCAACTAAGGTTCTTTTTTTGAAAAAGTTTTTTTTATTTTAAGTACAAAAACAACAAATAAAACCATCTTTCAATTTTATAGTGTATTGGTTGGATACATATATCTTGTGCCCATAATAATATTGTACATTTCTTACTTGATTATATTTATAAACCATTCTAAGTAACATTTTATATCATATTATTATATTATTTACATTATAATTAGTATCTTTTAGAAACATATCTCATTCTTGCTAAATTATATTAATTCTCTTACTCATTCAAGATTAATCAATTTTAGTATATTTATTACTATTACCACATATTTTAGTTTCTTATTATTCTATCTAACCATTCATAAAATAAATCCCAAATCTTATCATACTCTTTTTCCTCTTGTTCTCTAATTGCCATTGTTAATCTACTCATTTCTGCATATTCTATTATTTTCTTAATTGTTTCCTCCTCCTAACCTAACCCAATTAAGGTTCTTTGAGTTCATCTTTTTGCTGTTTGTTGCGGCCCAGACTTTTAACAACATAACCTCTAGTGCAAGTGTTCCTAAACTTTTTGCCATCACATCTTTCTTTAGTGTGATCTTAATGTACATACTTCCGCTAAAATTCTAAACATGAATGTGGACACAAGTTATCAATTAAAATTTATATGGTGATACTTTGGAAAATGTGGATTTGTTGTCACATTGTACAACTGAAAGGTTCCTCAGAAAACTTAGGAATTTAGAAAAAAGAATTGGAAACATCTTTCCCTCCTAATTTATACCAGGTTTTTTTGGAGTAACATTTGCCTGTTTTAGTTGCTGTAAGAAACAGCTGGATTCAGATATCATACTAAGCATTGATATAATTTAATTATCATGTTTTGTGAACTCAGTCATTGAATTTGTTAGAAATGTCAGTTGTGAAAATAAACTGTTTTCTAAAAAGTGCTGTGGTTTATATGTGAACCTGGATCTGGCTTACTTAATCAGCATGTGGTGAAGAAAAGAAAGCAGCAGACAGACTGCATACTTGTTCTTTGTATCACAGGGTATGTTTTATAAAACTGAAGCCACTTTCTCAAAATGTAATACTTGACTGGCATAATGATTAAAATGATAAATTTAACCGGTCCTAATTTTCTTCTCTAGGAAATTATATTTTTTGCAAGCTTCCACAAAGCCCCAAACCCTTTATTTCATTTTTTCGCTCTGGTGGTATCTATGTTAGCTAAGCAACAGGTTGAAATTAAATTACTTCCTCCAATTCCACATATTCATTTTAGACCAACTTTCAAACTATTACTAAAATATTATCTCTTTGTGTTGAACTTTGCTTTCATTGTGCATTTTTTCCCCAACAAATTACTTTACAATGAGGCCATGGTGATAGTTTCCTCCATTTCTAAAATTAGAAGTTTTAACAATGATTGGGACTGGCTCCACTGCTTCTCCCCTATTTTGTGGATGAAAAAGAAAGGTTGGATATTGTTACAGGGTCCTGCTGATTGTAACAATAAAGATTTATTTTGTGAGAGCAAAAGTTGCTTGTTTTCAGTTTTATAGCATGCCATTTTCATCTTGGACAATTAGCAGAAAACAGATGGCATGAAAGTATAGGAAGGATATCAGTATGGGCTCCTATTTTAAGAGAATCCTGTGACTGATTTACCTAGTTTTGCAATAAGAGATGTATGAAGTTATGTAGACGCTTACTAAAAATACATTTATATCATTTTTTTCTGTGGTTTCATATTGCTTTCATAGATAATTCCTACAAAACATTTCTTCATATCTTTACAGAAGTTTAATAATCTAAATTAAATAAAAAAATAAAAATACTAATTCAAAATAATAAATAAACAAAAGAAAACAAAAACAAAAAAGCATCAAAGGGCAGACTAGATCTTTTTCTGCTATCAGTTTTCCATGTTTCTAAATAATTGGAGAAAAATAGCAACATTAGCAGTATAAGTTATTATTTATGAATCTTAATGTTTTTATAAGTTTGCTATAATGATATTTATTTAGGGCATCTCGTGTTTTTTTAAAAAAATATTCAAATAGGTTACAAATATCAGATAGTGTTTGTTGGAAAGGAGAACTATTTAAAAATTGAGATCCTCTATTCTTCCTCCTCCTCTCTTCTCCCCTTCACTATATCTGCTCTTATCTCTGCACCTCTCTCACAGCAATTAGCAACAGAAGTCAACATATGGTGGCAGCATTTTGGAGGCATGATGATGCAGAGGTCTGAAGAGGGGGAATAAAACATATTGCTAGATTTGTAAAGAAAATCTCAGTTTGTGTTATTTTCAAGATTAACCATATATGATAGTTCAGATGAGATAGAAATTTCCTCACTGATTTATATTGTACTGTAAATGCCAATCATGACTAAGGCAGTTTCAGAATTCCTCCAACGTGTTCTTGGGACTGCAGATAGTACATCTGGTGAATGCTGCAGAATTTTAGTAGGTATTTGGATACCTATGATTTGAATAATTGGAAAACTACAATACCTCAATATTGGTTGTTATAAATATAATTGGTCATATAAGAGAATAGCATATAATTATCTTGGGTCACACAGGGATTTTTATTTATTTTCATTTTCTTCCTAGGTATGGAAAGCCAGATTAAATGGGTATGAAGAAGCACTGAAGCTGTTTGAGAAAATAGATGATGAAAAGAGCCCTGAATGGTCCAAATACCTTGGACTTATAAAGAAATTTGTGACAGACTCAAATGCAGTAGTTCAGCTAAAAGGATTAGAAGCTGCACTTGCTTATGTTGAAAATGCTCATGTAGCAGGAAAGTAAGTTATTTGTATTTGTACTTTAGAATAATTCTTGCTCCTTCTAATGAACTTAAGATCCCAAATTAAATTTATGTATTAGCTTTGATCAGTTTCAAACATTATAGGAATTAGAACAATGCTTTGGACAATTTCTTCAGAGCCATTAGGCTACAATTGTACAATGAAATCTATACTATAAATCTTTTTGGAACATGCCTACAGTACATTAGTCATTTAATCCTCAGTTTGGGTTTTTTGAAATGATTTCTTTAATCAAATAAAAACTTGACATCTTCCCCACTGCATGGGTACCAAATGTTGGAGGAGATAATTTATGTTGATAACTATCTGACTCTTACAATAACTGTATTTGTTTCTAGAACAATTTTAGAGTAATTGAATAATCACTACACATTGTAATAGCCCTTCACATTATAAAAATATTTTTCACTTAACACTGCATGCATTTGAGCTGTTTGTAAAATGTAGCAGTGAAGTACTCAACATGCATGGTTATGAATCAGATCTTTTTGTGTATAATTTTTATTAAAACTTTTAAACTAGGAGATAAAAGCTAACAAACTATTAGAAAGTAAAAAAATAAATCAAAGAAAAACAAAAGGTGCAAGAAAAGGGGGGAAGCTAAAGAAACATTGAAAAGAAAGCAAAGAAATATAAAGTGGCTTTCAATATTTTCACAGCACTTATAAGTACAAATATATTTTGACCATTCTTTCTCTAAAATTACAAAATTCCCTAATTTATCCCATCTAACAATTGAAACTGGGTTACAAATTAATTTGTTTTCATTTTTACACAAAAAGTCCATAAGAGGCTTCTAATAAAAAATAGATGTACATAATGTCTTTTCCCTAATCAAAGAAATTAATTTCTCCATGTCAGCAAAATCTCTCAACTTTAGCGATCATTCCTCCATTTAGGGTAGCGTCGAACCTTTTCAACTCTGTGCATACGGTAATCTCGCTGCTGTGATCATACATTGAGATAGTTTTCCATGGCTTTTTTTAACTGTTTATCCATTAATCCTAAAAGAAAAGGCTCTGGATTCATTTGAGTAATGTATATGAATGAAGTTGTTAATAAGTATCCTTGAATGCAAAACTCTTAGGAATATTTCATAAATGCATCAAAACCAATCAACCTCAGTAAATTGCAATATAACAATAGCCTGAAGAATCATGTGTTTTAATGGAAATCAAGTATTGATTGACCTTATTGCAATAAGGTGGGTGAGAGAGAATCAAATTGTTCATTCTGTTTTCAACTAATTGTTATTTCTTCCTTTTTTTAAGAACAACAGGTGAGGTGGTATCTGGAGTTGTAAATAAAGTATTCAATCAGCCTAAAGCTAGAGCAAAGGAACTAGGCATAGATATATGCCTCATGTTTATTGAAATTGAAAAAGGGGAAGTGGTGCAAGAAGAACTGCTTAAAGGCTTGGACAATAAGAACCCCAAGATCATAGTGGCATGCATAGAGACATTGAGGAAAGCACTAAGGTAAGATTTAATTGAACTTTTATTCAGACTTTCTAAGAATAAGGGAATTTCTTATGACTAATTAAATTCACTGTTGCATTTTCCACTTAAGTGGTCAGTGAAAAAAAGCTACATTATATAATATTTAGTATGTATGCTTTGCCCTTTACGTTCATGTGTTGGGTTCATAAAAAACTAAGTTCCTTTATGACTTACTACACTAATGAAATCAACTGCTGTTGATATTTGATGCAACTTAATGAAAGACTGAACTCTACAAAGCAAGAAATGAATGAATCTATTTAAATACTGTAATTTAGTCTGTCTTTTGCCTGACCATGTGGTAGCACATAGGCAACCTTGATTTAAATTAAAAGCCAACCAGCATCAGAAATTAGACAGTTATAAAAAGTTGGTGGAAAAAATCCCCCCAAAGCAGTGGAAAAACCACTTACATAGAAAGTTAAATAATCAACTGTAGATGGCATAGAAGCCCTAGTTTTTCCTCTGCATAATATTTGTATGGATGGAGTATTCCTCAAACTATGACTATTAAAGGGTGTCACTGAATGAATAGTATTTATGCTCAATCCCCAAAGATACTCCCATGATCACATGGTCAAAATTCAGCTGTTTGCCAGGTCACCTGCACCTACCCACTTGCCTATCACACCCATACCTCTGTCGTTTTGGCTGCTCTGCATAAGTAGCACACTTTGGTGGCAATGCTAAGTTCAAATAGAGGTCTGAGGCCTTCAACAGTCTTAGCCGGCTATCCATGGGCCTGTACTTCAGCCCAAAGCCAAGGAGTGTCATCTCAAGCACCACGTTGCAGATAACCACTCCAGTGGTATGCCCAAGTGACCTTCATTGGCTTCTTCCAACGACTGACAAAACATGCCCAGCCTAGCCCTATGCAAGGCAGTTGCTGACTGCTCAAGGCAGGTCTCATCACTTCTGAGGTCTTCTAAATCCTCACCAGATTCCCACTGTTCTCAAAATTGTAAGTGATCTTCTCGTGATGTTCTGGAAAGCCACAGAAGCTTTCTGAAGCATCATGAGAATAGTGGGCACAGCCTTTTCATGCAGTTTTAGAAGCCCTCAGAAACCATTTGAAACATTGTAAGAACAACATGTGCTATTTACAGAATGGTATCAGTGGTCTTTAGAAAAAGGCCTGGTCACAAAATGTCATCCTTTGTGATTGCATTGCTTAGTGACGGAAACGGTATATAAGTCTAATTGCTACTGCTAGAATGTTTAGAACACCCAAATATTTGTCAGAGAATTTATATAGTAACATTAAAGTAGCATAATATAACCAGTTCCGTGTATATATTTCAGTGAATTTGGTTCAAAAATAATTGCCTTGAAGCCAATAATCAAAATGTTGCCAAAACTTTTTGAATCTCGAGAGAAAGCGGTTCGAGATGAAGCCAAACTCCTTGCAATTGAGATTTATCGATGGATTAAGGATGCTCTTAGGCCTCCATTACAGAACATAAATTCTCTTCAGGTAAGTTGGAGAAATGTTACGTTCTGATAACCTTAACAGGAGGTTGTCAGTAAACAGAAGAAAACAGATTTTGTTCTGAAATGTTTTCAATAATTGAAAGCTTTGTTTTGGAAAAGTATTCCTTTTAGATACAATTTTAGTGGAGGAAATTTTATATCATACACGTGAGGTCCAAGACCTGAAACGACTGGAGTTCTAACAAATCTCATATTGAATCTTTCAAGAGGCTTGGAAAAAATGGTTGATATCTTGCACTAAGTGTTAACAGGTGATCATCCACTATCAAGCTTTAAAAGATGGGTTCTCTCCTGGAATCTGCTAATTATTAAGCAGCAAATGCTTATGTCAGCAAAAAGATTTTGAAGTCATATAATATACTAACGTTCTTAGTAGGCCTTCTTTCAGTAGCAGATTATTTATAATCAGTTGTATTCGTGTAATCACTCACTTCCTCCAGCTTGCATGTTACTCTAATCGTAACACTTGTGTGGCTAATAACAAGCCTATAGAGAGAGAGAAAAATAGAAAAATAGTTTAAAAAGCCAATGTAGTAACAGCACATGCCCCTTAACCCAGAGCAGCATATGTTGGGTCAGTGCAGTTTTTATCATCAAAAGCTATGCTTTTTATATGTCTTTGAAAGCATAAAATAGTCCAAACATCAGGGGTCAAGATTGTGTTTATGCATCTTTTGGCTATTTTAATTCTTATAGTTAAAAGAACTGGAAGAAGAATGGGTTAAACTACCATCATCCACTCCCAAGCAGTCCAGATTTCTGCGATCCCAACAAGAAATGAAAGCAAAGTTTGAGCAACAGCAGGCAGCTGGTGGAGATGCAGATGGAGGTAATATTCATCTGGAACTTCAACCTTGAGGATGTTATTAGGAAAAAGGAAAAGTCACCAAAAAGCACTAACTGACAAAGAAGTTAGATTCATATCAGTATCTAGATAGTATCATTAATTGCAAAGAAGTCCTTATTCTGGGAATTTTGATCATATGATTAGTAAAACGTAGTATTGTAGTGTAACAGGCCTGAACTTGGCTCTGTATAATAGCTGTTTCCATAGGAGGCGATGATGGTGATGAGGATGTTCCACAAGTTGATGCTTATGAACTTTTGGAAGCTGTTGAAATTCTCTCCAAACTTCCTAAGGATTTCTATGACAAAATAGTAAGTGGAGATAAAACAATATGTTAATCTTAATCTCTATAACTTCCCTTTGCATTAATACTGCGTGCATTAAAATAGCTACCAAATAATTTCTTTTTTCTGCTACTGAATTTATATATTGTCATGTCTTAAGAGCTATTAATTATTAGGGACAATTGCAGTAGATCAATGTGAAAACACAGTGGTAAATTAAAGTACTGCGTTGTTACTGATCCCATGGAAGCATGTGCACGTATTTTTCCCTTATTCAAATAGAAAATGACATGACTAGAACGCATCAATGCATATATCACATATGTTTAATGGTTTGCCTTACAGGAGGCCAAAAAGTGGCAGGAAAGAAAAGAAGCTTTGGAAGCAGTAGAAGTGTTGGTTAAAAATCCCAGATTGGAAGCTGGAGATTATGCAGACTTGGTGAAAGCTCTTAAGAAGGCAAGATTCTCTGTATTACCCAAATGGACCTCTCAAATCTAAATACAAGGTCACAGTATTAGTATAGTTATAAGGAGCTTTTAATCTTTTATTGGTAAATATAGAGTGTTTACTTATATTTGCTCATAGGTTTAAGTGGATGATGAGCGAGACCTTAATTACATGGAAATAGAAATGAATATAATTGAACATGTTTTTGAACTCTTTAAGCAGATAGCGAGTCAGCTAGTGCTAATAAATGGCCCAGAATCTGGTTTCCAGCATATTATGTAGAATAAAATCCAGAATTTGTGCTCCTGAAACACAGTTTTCTCCTCTATTTGCACACCCCAGATTTAGACACTCCACCAAATGAAGCATATTTTGTGAGTGTATAGCAAGGGTCATCAAACTTGATAGCTTTAATACTTGTGGACTTCAACTCCCAGAATTCCTCCTCCAGTCATGTTAGCTCAGAAATTCTGGAAGTCCACATGTCTTAAAATGTGCCAAGTTTGAAGACCCTTGGTGTATAGGAAAGTGGCAGGGGAGATCAACCTCTCCCTCATTCTTTATGTTTGTGGGCTGTCAAACTGGAGAGTAACTCTTAAATAGTTTAATATGAATGTAGGTGAATGACATGAGAAATTATTTTTAATTGGTTCAGAATTCATTTTGAATTTTTACACCATTAGATTGTGATGCTCTTTCTTTACAGGTTGTTGGAAAGGATACTAATGTAATGTTGGTTGCTTTGGCTGCCAAATGCCTTGCTGGACTAGCCAGTGGTCTCAGGAAGAAATTTGGACAATATGCTGGTCAGGTGAGTATAATATGCTCAGTGTTTGCTTTTGAATTCTCTGTGTAAAATTAATTGTGTAATGAGGAATAGACTAGAATTTGGCACCAGCCTGATACGGATTTCTCATGAATGTGTGTTAAATCTTCCTTTTATCATATTTCTAGCAAATTTTCTTGTGGGTTTTGTTTTATTAAAACAAAAGAATATCCAGGAAAATAGGAAAACATTTTTCCAGAGGAGTAGTTTGAAATAAGTAACAGTTTTAAAAATCAGCAAACATTTTTCTTTTTAAAAAATGTTTTAGTTAGATCTGTGATGGCGAACCTTTGGCATGCGTGTCACAGGTGGCACGCAGAGCCATTTGTGCAGGCACGTGAGCCCCAGGCAAACTTACCTGATTCCACATGCGCACGCTTCCCAGCTGATTTTCGGGCCTGCCAGAGGCTTGAGGGAAGCCTCTATGGGTTTGCAGGCTGAAAAATAGGCCCATTTCATCACTTCCTGTATTTCAGGAAATACCAGAAGTGACGAAACGGGCCCATTTTTCGGCCTGCAGAGGCTTTTCTCAAGTCTCTGGCAGGCTGAAAAGGCCTCAAATGGGTCGAAAATCAGCTGGGAGGCACAGTGCAGGTAAGGGCGGTGGGGGGGGGATCACATGGGGATGTGGCGGGGGGGGGGCTCATGCATTGCCTTCTGGGTGGTGGTGTGTGAGTGTGAGCCCTCAGTTTTTGTCACAGGTGTCCAAAAAGGTTATCCACCACTGAACTAGATTGTAGTATCAGTGTTTCTGAATGTAATGGACTTTTAGTGTGATATGATTATTTTCTGTGCCCTTTGTATGGGACGGTAATGAAGATTTCCTTGTATTACAATTGACACTGCAGTGGATGTGCAATTTGTAACATCTTGATAATATTCAATAGGTTGTCCCAACTATTCTGGAGAAGTTCAAAGAAAAAAAGCCTCAGGTCGTGCAAGCCTTGCAAGAAGCCATTGATGCTATCTTTCTTACTGTAAGTGAATTGATACCAATACTCTGAACAAGATTAATAGGCGCTTCTTGAATAGTCAAAGTGAATCTCTCGTGTCCAAATACTTTAGACCACACTACAAAATCTCAGTGAAGATATCTTGGCTGTAATGGATAACAAAAACCCAACTATCAAGCAGCAAACATCTCTCTTCATTGCACGAAGCTTTCGTCACTGCACTCCTACTACCCTTCCCAAAAGTCTCCTGAAACCATTCTGCGCTGCTCTCCTCAAGGTAAAAAAAAAAAAAATATTCTGCAGAACTTGATTTGAAATAAAATAAGGAGATAATAAGTTTCTATTGCTGGAAGGTATCCTTTACTAATATGTAAGATGGGAAGTTCAAAAATATTTACGCATGTAAATATTTTTTACATAGAATTTTTATCTAGGCAGGACTGAAGTGTTACGCAGAACAAAAGAAAAAGAATAGCAGCTGCCCACAGTTGCACGACTGGAAGATGGGTGGCAAATAAATTTAAATAAATACATATATAAATATCTTTTTCATATCCAAGAAAGGAGAAAACCATGTAACTGATTCATATTTTTGAATTCAGTTTCTTCATTGACCTCCACTTGCCCTCTCTCTGTTATCTTCAGGGTTCAGCTAAAGTTAGCATAGAGAGGTTCCAAGCAAAGCTTTATGTAAAATACAAATCAATTCAAAGGAGAGAAACATCTTTGTAGCAGGGGTTGCAGCCTCAGGTTGCAGTCCATCACCAAGCCGTGTGAGCAAGTCGAGCTGCACGCGCGTGTCCGTCCGTCCTCCGTCTCTCTCTCCCTCCCCCCCACAAAAAAATCAGGCTGCCAAGCCACAAAGGTGGGGACCACTGCTTTCTGGTTTCTGTGAATCAAAGCTCCATCCAGCAGAATACTCAGGTTTTGTTTTTTCGCCACAGCATATTAATGATTCGGCTCCAGAGGTTAGAGATGCTGCATTTGAAGCCTTGGGCACTGCCCTAAAAGTGGCAGGTGAGAAAGCTGTGAATCCTTTTCTAACAGATGTGGACAAACTGAAACTAGACCGGGTAAGTAACACTAAATCATCAGTCTATAGTAGGGTTCAAATATTATGTTATTTCAAGGAGCCCTGAGAATAAGTCAGGGGGTTAACTATTAATATTTTCAATAGGTGAATAGGTGAGGCTGTGACTTGCTTTTTTTGAACATGGTATGAGTTTTAGGTTCTATAAAATAGTGAAGTCATTTCTATCAGATAAATTGTGATCCTTTCATTATTTAAAGCTTATGTTGTGTAGGGCATATGAAACAATAGCAGAATTTCAGTCTCAGTGAGGGGCCATGGGCATATTTGAAACTTGTCTTTTAAAATACATTTTTATTTTATTCAGAAAATTAAGATAAAATACCCCCCTCAAAAAAGGGAAAAAAAGAAATTTACAAAAACCAAACAAAGATAGACAAAACATTAGAAAAGGGGGAAAAAGTGCATTAAAAAAGACAAAGCACACACACACACACACACACACACACAATTTCCTGAGTTGAATACGCATAAATATACTGGAACAATATCAGTTCCCCCTGCCACTTGAGGAGCATGCCCAAAATTTATAAACTTCTATCTCTAATTGCATCCAATTTGACTCGTCATCTATTATATATAAAGGCAAAGAGGCTAACGGTATATTTGCAACTTTTTATGTGCTGATTGTAAAATGGCCATTGAAAACTTAGAAGTATTCTCCTGCCCCCCTGTAAGATAGCTCTTTGCATAAATGCATATGCCTTTTAATCACTTCGACTTTGTTCTTTCTCCTAAGCACTTACATCCCTCCCCAGGTTGCTTGGTAATGAGCTCCTTCATCTCACAAGCTTATTCTTGCAGTTCTTTTTCTCTTTCCTGGTTGGCAGGCAGCTTAGGTTGCTCCCTTTGGTGGTTTTGTTCTTTTTCCTTTCCTCCGAAGAATGTGCTGGGCTCTCCTGGGGCCTGAGACATTCAGGCCATTGGTAAGGGAAGAGAGCAGGCAGTTGTTGCAGATTAAAACTTTTCTACTTGTCCAGCCTTCAGAGTATAAAACGATTTAAATTTTGTGTAAATATGATAAAAGTCAGAATTGAAAAGAGCTTCTTTACATTGCAATTGTACTGCATCTATACCAGAAACAGAAAAATCCAAATAATTCAGGGACAATATAGTTCAAGAACTGTAATTTTTGTAGCAATAATTTATGACACTTGTCAAGAGCAACTGCTAGATTTTAATCCTTTTATGTTAATCTCATTTTGCCTACTAGATTAAAGAGTGTGCTGAAAATATTGAGTTGGTTGGTGGAGGTAAAGTCAGTGGAGGAGCTGATAGAAAAGAAAACAAAGCTGTTCCTGGCAAGACTCCAGTTCTTTCTGGCGCTGCAGGAGACAAAGATACGAAAGATAACTCAGCTAAATCTGGGCCACCAAAAAAGGCTCCCACTGCTAAGGTATGAAAACCAAACACTCTGAAATGTGGCAGATCAAATTTGCATATATTTAAATGAATACAAACGAATTGCATTTTCAGAAGTGACAAAATAATGTATTGCATTTGTTTATGAGCTACATAGATGTTCTGAAAAAGTCCAATGTTTAAGCAAACAGATGTAATGTCAGGATTGCTATGTTTAACTTTTGCATCCAGTATGTGCATCTTTTCTTCCCATGAAACATTACAAAATGAACATTGTGATTAACAGGCTCATGCACACATGTACGTGAATAGAAAATTCGGTAAAGTAAAGTTTAATTAGATGGAAATGTTCCCAAAGAAAACAGCAAAATTCTGGAATAGTAGTTAATATTTTAAAAATAACAAACAGGTGAGACAGACAATTTTCTTAAAGTAAGTTTCCCATTTTGGATACCACAACAAGTCCTTTTGCTTAGGTGACTATTGGGGTATGTAGAAGGGTCTCTGCATTAAAAATTGTAGGAAGACTCCATTTTAGATGCTCTTGTTTAGTCATCTGTTAGTTTCACAAGTTTCTATTGAATGTTATTTGATTTTTTTTCTTTGCTGTTGCCATTGCTAGGATTCAAACCAATAATGATCTTTTCACCATGTTTTTGATTTGACTGAAATTTTCAAATACTTTTTGAAGACTGATTCAAAAATAATCCAGTTGAATAGTATGTTTTTTTCCAACATTTACTTTTTCTGTAATTAGTAAGTGTTGGAAAAAAAAAATTCAGTTTTTTCTGTAATTAATATGTTTTTAGAAAGTTACGAGTCTAAGATAGCAAGTAGTAAAATCCAACATTGTTCATTAGTGCCAAAGCTACAAAATGTGCTATTATCTACATTAAACCCATCTTTAGAAGACAGTGTTGTCGAGAATACCTAGATTCTATAATACCAACAGAAGGCTGTCATATAGTGACCTTCCACTTCCTATCCCTTGAAAAGATTCTCCTAAAAGTCAGGGTAAGTGACTATGACTTAAGAAGTCTGAGGAGGAAGGAAGAATTGTTGAACATATATATATTATATATATATATATATATAAGCAGAGTCTCTTCCCCCACCCTCACCTCAATCTTTTTTCTGAATTCACTTGTGATGTTTTATTCCCTTTTCATTTAATTATCCGTTTCCAACATCTGTTGAATATGTGCTTATTTCAAAAGTTTTTCCCTCTCTTTTTTGTATACATAGGCTGGTGGTCCAGTGAAGAAAGGGAAGCCAACTTCAGCTGGAGGCGTAGGAACTACTGGAACAAAAGCCAAAAAAGGAACTGAAGTAAAAGAGATATTTGAGCCAGAACTCTCAGTAAGTGAATTCTGTGCAAATTCTATATTTCAAAAAACAATGATGATCTTACTCAAAATACACTGCTCAAAAAAATAAAGGGAACACAAAAATAAGACATCCTAGATCTGAATGAACGAAATATTCTTATTGAATACTTCGTTCATTACATAGTTGAATGTGCTGACAACAAAATCACACAAAAATTATCAATGGAAATCAAATTGAGCAACCCATGGAGGTCTGGATTTGGAGTTACACTCAAAATTCAAGTGGAAAAAAACACAACAGGCTGATCCAACTTTGATGTAATGTCCTTAAAACAAGTCAAAATGAGGCTCAGTAGCGTGTGTGGCCTCCACGTGCTTGTATGACCTCCCTACAACTGCCCATGCTCCTGATGAGGTGGCGGATGGTCTGAGGGATCTCCTCCCACACCTGGACTAAAGCATCCTCCAACGCCTGGACAGTCTGTGGTGCAGCGTGGCGTTGGTGGAATGAATGAGACATGATGTCCCAGATGTGCTCAGTTGGATTCAGGTCTGGGGAACGGGAGGGCCAGTCCATAGCATCAATGCCTTCGTGTTGCAGGAACTGCTGACACACTCCAGCCACATAAGGTCTAGCATTGTCGTACATTAGGAGGAACCCAGAGCCAACTGCACTACCATATGGCCTCACAAGGGGTCGTAGGATCTCATTTCGGTACCTAATGGCAGTCAGGCTACCTCGGGCGAGCACATGGAGGGCTGTGCGGCCCCCTAAAGAAATGCCACCCCACACCATTACTGACCCACTGCCAAACTGGTCATGCTGGAGGATGTTGCAGGCAGCAGAACATTCTCCACGGTGTCTCCAGACCCCGTCACGTCTGTCACATGTGCTCAGTATGAACCTGCTTCCATCTGTGAAGAGCACAGGGCACCAGTGGCGAATTTGCCAATCTTGGTGTTCTCTGGCAAATGCCAAACATCTTGCACGGTGTTGGGCTGTAAGCACAACCCCCACCTGTGGACATCGGGCCCTCATACCACCCTCATGGAGTCTGTTTCTGACCGTTTGAGCAGCCACATGCACATTTGTGGCCTGCTGGAGGTCATTTTGCAGGACTCTGGCAGTGCTCCTCCTGTCCCTCCTTGCACAAAGGCGGAGGTAGCGGTCCTGATGCTGGGTTGTTGCCCTCCTACGGCCTCCTCCATGTCTCCTGATGTACTGGCCTGTCTCCTGGTAGCACCTCCATGCTCTGGACACTACGCTGACAGACACAGCAAACCTTCTTGCCACAGCTCGCATTGATGTGCCATCCTGGATGAGCTGCACTCCCTGAGCCACTTGTGTGGGTTGTAGACTCCGTCTCATGCTACCACTAGAGTGAAAGCACTGCCAGCATTCAAAAGTGACCAAACCATCAGCCAGAAAACATAGGAACTGAGAAGTGGTCTGTGGTCATCACCTGCAGAACCACTCCTTTATTGGGGATGTCTTGCTAACTGCCTATGCTTTCCACCTGTTGTCTATTCCATTTGCACAACAGCATGTGAAATCGATTGTCAATCAGTGTTGCTACCTAAGTAGACAGTTTGATTTCACAGAAGTGTGACTGACTTGGAGTTACATTGTGTTGTTTAAGTGTTCCCTTTATTTTTTGAGCAGTGTAGTTGTGATTCAGTTACACGTGCACGAGATTCAGTGTTTCATTTGGAACAGTTTTATTTCTCTAGTATTTTATGTTACATTAGATTTTGTTTACTCTACAAATCTTGTGAGCGTGCTGATAAACTTAGGGGGCATGTTTTCTTTCAGGAACTCAAAATGATTTATATTGACTTGATAGTAGGAATGTGAACAAACTGGAAAATGTTATGTTTTGAACCTTGAACAAAACACTGCACCCTGAGAGTTCTGCCATAATGTTTCAGACTGGTCATGGTTCAGCAGATACGAAACATGGAACATATTGTGAGTTTTGGATGATGCAAAGTCCAAGATTCTAAATGATTTTATCGGGGCCAATAAGGCTGGTATGCACTGCCTGTGCACTCCCTTCTCCCTATAGCTGTTTTCTAAGCAGTATATACCCACAGCCTATCCTGACCCAATTTTTTGAGCATCTTTTGAGCCATTATGACTACTGTCCTTTGTTTTTTCATGCTCTATTCCCACTTTCCAAATCCTTTCAGCCTGAGGTAACCACATTTCTCTCAGTATGCAAAACAAAACAAAAAAATCCCACTTTGTCCATGAGTTTACTAGCGCACCCGAAACACACATGCTTCAGTAACAGAATGGGCTGCAGCAAATTGGCTGATCTATGCACAGAAAGGTTCATGACTAAATCATTTTGCACATCTCTTGTTGGCAGAGAATGACCGGCCCATTTGCCAGTTGTGATTCAACTTCTGAAATACAGTATTTCTAAAACACGATTAGCATTTAGACATTTGCCTAATGTAAATGTCAAATTATTGGTCTTCTTTATATTTGTAATGGAGAAACTGGTACGTACTGTATAGCAATTCAACAGAATTCTTGAATCTCCGCTCTGAGGAGCATGCCAAGAGTGCTGTAGAATGAAGTCCATTTCTAAATAAAGTGGTGTGTGTACACATGCCCATTTGGTACGGCTGCCCCTTCACTCAAGAGGCTAATCACATAAACAGGAAAAGATACCTTGGGTCTAAAAAATACTGTTAGGCGCTACATGCACATGTCTATGTGCTCTGAAGTAACATGTTTCCTTTGAATCCAGGTTGCCGTGCTATAGCAAACCTGATATAAGTCAAAATGCCTAATAGCCCAATGAAGGCTAATTTGAAATGTACCAGTAGGCTATTAACAGGTGTGCAATATTTTTCTTTGCTAATAGATAGAGATGTGTGAGGAGAAGGCTTCAGCTGTGCTTCCAGAAGTTTGCTTACAACAGTTAGATAGTGGCAATTGGAAGGAAAGGCTGGCTTGCATGGAAGAATTTCAAAAGGTAATAATGACAAGTTCTTCTAAAACTGTCTCAACCCTATAAATATCTGTTTGTTCCATAGTAAATTATTTTGGCATTTCACAGAAGCCTTTAGTGTCAGGCTGTATTTTGTGACTTTTCAGATTATTCTGAGTACTGCAAGTTTGATAGACCAGATCTGGTTCTTCTTTAAAATACATTAAAGACTTAATTTTTGTAAAAAATGCACTGGTCAGTTTCACACAAGGAGGCATCCAACAATAGTTAATTCTTACTGTCGAAAAATAAGAACTGGTTCAAACATCCAATCACTTTTACATTTCTTGTCAGAAAATCAGAATAAAGTTTCCAAAAATGAAGCTTGATTGTAAATATTTGTAAAAAAAAAGAAGAAGAAGAATCCGTATATAGTGTGGGTTAAATTTATGTTTACAATATTTACAATCTTCAGACCCAGATCTAGATCATTTTTAATCTACTTTATCCAGCTTTGGGTTTGAAGACTGCAAAAACTGCAAGTAATTTCTTTACAAAATTTTCAATTGAAGGGACAAGAAATAATCTTATTAAGAACTATGGTTTTTATGCATGCTAAACATGAAATGTATCCAAATGAATATAGGTTTATAGAATGCAGTTTGGCAGTATTTATATTCCTGCCTTTCTTAGAGTTTAACACTGTTCTTAATCTTTAAGGCAGTTGAGCTGATGAATAAAACTGAAATGCCTTGCCAGGCTCTAGTAAGAATGTTGGCGAAGAAACCTGGATGGAAGGAGACTAACTTTCAGGTAGAACAATGTTAATGTTTAGTTCTATTATCGTTGAATTAATAACTAATGAACTTTATTTAAAAAGTTACCTTAGACTTGAGCTTGGAATTCCTTATGGGTAGGCTTGACCATTTGTGTTTGAAAACTTTATGCAAGAACCTTGATCTATATTTCTTATTTGCATCCAACATAATAATATTGTTCATTATATTATTTGATTTCTTTATTGATATGTGATACATTTCTGGTAGCATTACACAGTTCATTAAGGCTGAATTAAAATATGGGTATTTGGAACCCTGTTAAACAAGAATAATACAATTAAGATAAAGCATTCAAATATATACTTTAAGAAAGATGCTAAGAATTATGTCAATATTTATAGTATCTATATTTAGCCAGCCTGCATGTGAAAAACTTCTAAAGTCTAATTAAAACGGCATTTAGAACTTTTTGGGCCCTAGGCTTTTGGGGATCCTCATTTCAATAATAGCTTGTGAGGCACAAGCAACCAGAACAACTCATGAGTTGGGCCAAGTAGATAATTCTATTGTTGATCACCTGTATTACAAGAATCTCACCAGGCTGTCTGCCTTCCCTTGGGAAACAGCAGATATAGGCCTACGAGTTTGACCTCAGATGTTTCCTCCCCCAACCAACCCTAAGCTGGGATGTTTCTTTACTCCCCCTAGAAGGGCCTCCTTTCCTTCAGCCTGTGATTCCACACAGCTATAAAGGTATTCTCTGAGCTTGTATTTTTCAAGGGAAAAGTCACAATGTATGTATTTTAAATGTATGCATAATAAAGTAATAATGAATATATCTGATTCTAGGGCATACAGTTTTAAAAAACATTTTTGTTCCCGGAAGTTTTGTCTGCCCTAGACACACGAGTCGTATTTGATGAAATGTAGGTCTCAAGTCTTACTGTGCAGCTGATCATTGGCTTGAAAATATCAATGGCTCCTCTTCTTGTTTGCAGGTGATGCAGATAAAACTTCATATCGTTGCTTTGGTTGCTCAAAAGGGGACCTTTTCCAAAACATCTGCACAAATTGTCCTGGATGGCCTTGTGGATAAGATTGGTGATGTGAAATGTGGGAGCAATGCCAAAGAAGCATTAACAGCAATAGCAGAAGCCTGTCAGCTGCCTTGGACTGCTGAGCAGGTGCATATATTGTTTTTCATAGATATAACATGCTGAAAGAAAACTTACTATCACAAGAACTATTGCTCATTTATACCAGTTGCAAATAGGCTGTTTTCATTCTAGGTTATGTCCATGGCGTTTTCCCAGAAGAATCCAAAAAACCAATCAGAAACTTTAAATTGGCTCTCAAATGCCATTAAAGAGTTTGGGTTTACTGGGTAAGTCTCAAAATTAGAGCAGCATGCTGCTTACATATACATGCTGTTTGCTAAATAACTGACATAAAAAGAGGTCTTAGCACACAGATAATGTAAGTAGAAACCATACTAATTCACATTATTAGTACATTTTTGAATGAGATGAATGTATTCATGTGTTTGTTACAGGAGTTATACACATGTGTGAACCAAGCTTGTTCTCACTATTGTACTAGTTTTGTACAGTCTGGTACTCTTTTTTTTTTGCCTGCCATGTAGTTTCTTTTTTGTTTGTATACAATGTAGTTAGAATTTAGAAATCTATTGGTGTATTGTAGCCCCCAGACTCCATTGCCATGGCTTCTGGATTGCTGAAGTCTGACAACAAATTGCTGGATCCCAATAGAGATTTTAAAAAAGGAATATAAAATGCTTTTATTGTTTTGAATATACTTTGCATACCTTAAAAGTCCAAACCCACTTCACAGAAATTCCCAACAGATTTTTAAAAAGAGGAATAAAATATTATTGTGTCCACTTGCATGATGTGAGACAAATTTCCTTCTTTTCCCATGATCCCTGGAAATACTAGAAAAACATGCAGAGCTGGATGCAAAATATTCAGGTGTCATTTCTTTTAAAAATGCTTTTTCTGACATGTAAAATGTATCGTGTTCTTTTGAGAAACAGTTCCATCATAGCCAATACTATTATCTCACATTTAAATTCCATAACCTTTTGACAAAGTGGTTAAGAATGAGTAAGAGGTTGTCATATTTTTCATCGTTCTATATAATTTTATCCTACTTTTGGCTAATATTTGTTGTCTTCTCCCTCAGATTGAATGTGAAGGCATTCATCAGCAATGTTAGAACAGCTCTTGGAGCTACAAATCCTGTAAGTATTTTTTTCTTCCTTCAACTTAAATTTCACTGTCTGAATATTGAGCTTAAATATTTCAATTTCCTGTTTAATAGGCTGTGAGGACATCCGCTATAACCTTACTAGGCGTCATGTTTCTGTATGTTGGTCCCCCTTTACGAATGTTCTTTGAGGATGAGAAACCTGCTCTTCTTTCCCAAATAGATGCAGAATTTGAAAAAGTAAGTTTTCCTTGAAACGCTGAAACATTTATTGTTTGGATGATCATTTCGACTGATTCCAGTATCTTACTATTGCTAATAATACAGTGAAGTAAATGAGCAATCTGCTAAGGCAGTCTTGGAAGATCGTATTGGCTGATGACTGACTGAAGATGAGTTCTAGTGTTTCGGATGGAAATGTTTGTCAAACTTTTATTAATAGGAGTATTAATTCAAGACTACTGTACTGTAAAAATCACTTTTGATTGATGATGACAGTGTCATTGAGTTACGACATTTCATTTAGCGACCATTCAATGTTATAACAGCACTGGAAAAAATGACTTATAATCATTTTACACACATAGGACCATTGCAGCATCCCCATGGTCACCTGATCAGAATTCAGATGCTTGGTAACTAGTTCAGACTTACGACCATTGTAGTGTTCTGGGATCATGTGATCAGCTTTTTTGACCTACTGACAAGCAAAGTCAATGGGGAAGCCAGATTTACTTAACAACCGTGTTACTAATTTAACAAACTTAACAAACAAACTTGATTCACTTAACAAACATGGCAAAAAAGATTGTAGAATGGGGCAAAACTCACTTAACAAATTTCTCACTTAGCAACCTAAATTTTGGGCTCAATTATGGTTTAAGTCGAGGACTACCTGTATCTTGTCTGATCCTTCCATTTTGAGCATTACTTGCATGATTTTTAATTAGCACCACACAACGTTGTACAGTCTTGTGAATTAACATGTCAAATACTCCCTATCAAAATAATGCAAAGTAATTTGGTAAGTATATGCATTTCAGGTGCAAGGACAAACACCACCTGCTGCAACTCGAGGCAGTACAAGGCACAATATTGGCAGTGATGATGGAGAGGAAGGAGAAGAACAGGAGGATTCAGGGAATGATGTCGTGGACCTCTTGCCTAGATCTGACATCAGGTTTTTATACTTTTTTATTTTATTTATTTATTTTATTTTATTTATTTGTCAATTGTTTACGAGATAAGTAAAAGTGTATACATAATTATGAATACATGAAATGAGTACATATAAGAAAAATAAAAGAAACAATAGGACAGGGACGGTAGGCACGTTGGTGCGCTTATGCACGCCCCCTACAGACCTCTTAGGAAAGGGGTGAGGTCAATAGTAGACAGTCTAAGGTTAAAGTTTTTGGGGTTTGGGGAAGAAACTACAGAGTCGGGTAGAGTATTCCAGACATTGACCACTCTGTTGCTAAAGTCGTATTTCCTGCAGTCAAGCTTGGTGTGGTTAACCTTGAGTTTGTATCTGTTGTGTGTTCTTGTGTTGTTATGGTTGAAGCTGAAGTATTCATTGACAGGTAGGACATTGCAATGTATGATTTTATATACCATGCTTAAATCAGACCGAAGACGGCGTAATTCAAGGTTTTCTAGTTCTAGAATTTCAAGTCTGGTGGCATAAGGTATTCTACAACGAGTAGAGGAGTGGAGAACTCTTCCTGTGAAATATTTCTGGACTTTCTCAATTGTGCTAATATCAGATACGTAATGTGGGTTCCAGACTGATGAGCTGTATTCGAGTATTGGTCTAGCAAATGTTTTGTATGCTCTAGTTAGTAGTGTGATATTACCAGAGAAAAAGCTACGTAAGATTAGGTTAACAACTCTTAATGCCTTTTTGGCTATGTAGTTGCAGTGGGCACTAGCACTTAGATCATTAGAGGTGAGTATTCCAAGGTCCTTTACAGAGCTTGGATCATCAACAAGATCTTGACTATTCAGCTTGTATTTTATTTTTGGATTTTTTTTGCCAATATGTAAGACAGAGCATTTATTTGTTGAGATTTGAAGTTGCCATTTGTTTGACCATTCTGATACACAGTCAAGATCTTCTTGAAGGGTAGCAGTATTGTCTGTGGTATTGAACAGCTTTACATCATCAGCGAAAAGAACGCAGTTGCTCTTAATATGATCACAGAGGTCATTTATGTAGAGTATGAAGAGAGTTGGTCCTAGAACACTGCCTTGGGGGACACCACTATTGACAGGTACAGAATTTGATAGGACACTCCCAATTTTGACCATTTGTTGTCTGTTTGACAGGAATGCTTCTATCCAGTTATGCAGTTGTCCAGAGATACCATAGGATTTTATTTTTAGTAGTAGTTTGTCATGTACCACTGAATCAAAGGCTTTACAGAAGTCTATGTAGATTGCATCTATTGTTTTGCCCTGATCAAGTTGTGTAGTCCATATGTTTTTGCAGTGTAAGAGTTGCAGATTACAGGATAGTTTTTTTCTGAAACCAAATTGTTTATTGGAGAGTAGGTTGTTTGTCTCTAAGTGGAGGATGATGGATTGGTTAATAATTGATTCCATGACTTTACAGGTGACGCAGCATAAGGAGATTGGTCTGTAATTTTCAACTAGGCAAGGGTCTCCCTTTTTGAAGATGGGGATGACTGTGGCTTGTGACCATAGGTTAGGCAAGGAACTGGTCCTGAAAGATTTTTCAAAGATTATGCTTAGAGGTTTGGCTATGGCAGTGGATAACTTTTTTAAGAGATAGGCACATATTCCATCCGGTCCAATAGATAGGGATGGTTTTAGATTGAGTAGTGCTTTTTCAACATTGTCTTCTGTAAAATCGATATGTATTAGATCACTGTAGTTATCTGTGGTTCGGCTAGGAAATGCTGGGCATGATCCATTGCTGTTTACAAATACTGAGCCAAAAAATGTGTTAAAGATGTTGGCTTTAATGGTGTCGTCGTTGCAGTCTTTACCATTAGGTCCTATCAGGGGTGGGATGGACCTTGAATCTTTTAGTTTGTTGTTTACAAAATTGTAAAAAGCATTGGTGGAATTGGTGCTTAGAAGGTTTTCCTCTTGTTTAATATGATAATTGGTGCATTCGGTCTTTATTTGGTGGCATAAATTTTTGTATCGGCTTTTGAAATTGGCAACGTGACCAGATTTGTTTTTCCGCCAGAGTGATCTCTTTTTGGATTGAAGTTTCCTTATTGTTATGGGCAATCTGTTTTTTTGTTTTGTTTTGGGAGTAGTTGTTGGTACATATAGTTTGATGACTCTTTTGACTTCAAGTAAAAATATGTTGTAATGGTCTTCAACAGTATTGCATCCAGTGAATAGAGATTGCCAATCAAGGGATGAGAGATCGTTGTTTATAAGATCATAGTTGCCTTTTTTGAAATTATAATTGGGGATCACATCATTGTGGTGGTTTTTGTGTGGACGTATGTTGAGACAAAAGTCAATCATATTGTGGTCACTGCTGGAAAAGGGTTCTTTAGTTTGTATTCCGTAAATTAAATTCAAACTATTGCAGAAGATGAGATCGAGGCAGTTGTTTAGTCTAGTGTTGTTGGATAATAGCTGTTCCAGTCCCAGATTTGTAACAGCATTGTAAAAGGTTGCATGTATGGTTTCAGTTGTACATTCATTTAGGGTCCAGTCAATATGAGGCAGATTGAAATCACCAAGAAAGATAAAAGGGTATGGGCAGGATGCTGCCCATGTTAGTAGTGTATTTAGCTTGTTTACATGTTCAATGTCATAATCAGGTGCTCTGTAACATAGTAAGAATCGAATTGTGATATTTAAGGATAGTTCACAGATAATGGTCTCAGGAAGAGCAAGCTCCTGGGTAACTTGGATATTTTTTAGATGTAAGGACTTTTTGTAGAAGATAGCAACACCACCTCCTCTACGAATTTCACGATCTGATCGGTAAACATGATAGTCTCTTACTGTGGTAATGGAGTCGGGGAGAGATGCATTGAGCCATGTTTCACAGACAAATATAATCTTTGGTTTTATGCTGTTTTTTTATTGAAAACCAAAGCAGGAATTGATTGGTTGGTTGATTGATTGATTGACTGATTGTGTGCTATTAAGTCATTATTGACTCCTAGCGGCTACCTGGGTAGACTTTCTCCATGATAACTTGTTCCCAAGATGGTATTTTATAGGTCTTCCAACGGTGTGTTCATCACCAATGAGTCCATCCCATCTTGCTGCTTGGCTTCCTCTTTGCTTTCACCTTTCCTAGCCTTGAAGTCTTCTTCAAAGATCTAGGTCTTTGCATTACATGTCTGAAGCAGGATTATTCGAGCCTTGGTGGTTGCTTCACCAAATGGTAATCAGGATATTAGTTGACTGCTTGTTCCTTTACTACCATCGCCAATTCTAAAGCTGGCTCTATCTATTCCCAGTTTGGTCTTTAAATTTTAGTTCCATTTTTCACTATGCTCTTTACTGTTATTACAAGAGCTTGCAGAACCTTTGCATTTTCAGTTGCCAAGGTAGGGTCATCAACACGTTATTGTTGTTTCTTCCATTTAAAACCATGCTCATTTTCTTCCATTCAAGCTTTAATAATATATATTCAACATATGGATTGAATAAATAAGTAGAGAAGACACTTTTTCCAACTTGGAGTCAAATCTGTTTCACCTTTACCTATACGGTGGCTTCCTGACTTATGTATAGGCTTCTCATGAGGATAATGATATGTTCTGGGAAACCCATTTTTCTGAGACATTCCACAATCGGTGAAGCACTTGCTCACTTCTTTCCAAGTATTTTTGGACTTTCTTAATTATCCAGAGTGTATACTCAATAATGGCATGTTCCTCAGTCCTTTCTAAAGCCAGCTTTAAACATCTGAGTGCTTCTTTTTTCATGGAGGGCTTATAATCTGTGTTGAGTGACCCCAAGTGCTATTTTGCATGTGAAATGAACCATATTGTATGATAATTCGCTCATTCAATTAAATCTCATTTTTTGGTCATTGGAATGTGGCTTCTTTTCTTTCAGTCTGTTGGCCAATGTACCATTGTCCAGATTTTCTTGAATAGTTTGGATAGAATCATTATTGATTCTTCTTCTGTTGCTTGCCATACTTCTGTGGATATTTCATCCGTTCCTATAATCTCCCAACTTGGAATTGAACAGAGTATTGATATAATAAGTAGGAAATATTTTTGATGGTATCTTGCATTTGACATAATATTTCAGTTTCTTCGTTCCATCTTTCTTTGATTTCTTTTGAGTCAGTCTATCTACAGGTAGGCCTCAACTAACAACAGTTCATTTAGTGAGTGTTCAAAGTTAACGATGGCATTGAAAAAAAGTGTCTTATGACCATTTTTCACACTTATGACCGTTGCAGCATCTGCATGGCCATGTAATCAAAATTCAGATGCTTGGCAATTGACTCATAGTTATGACAGTTGCAGTATTCCGGGGTCATATTATCCCCTTTTGTGACCTTTTAACAAGCAGAGTCAATGGGGAAGCCAAATTCACTTAACTGTAGTTTGACTAATTTAGCAACTGCAATGATTCCCTTAATTATGACAAGACAGTTCGTAAAATGGGGCAAATTCACTTAGCAACAGAAATGTTGGGCTCAGTTGTGATTGTAAGTCAAGGACTACCTGTATTGGCATTGCTTAGCATATAAATTTAAGGTTTCTTAAGCCATACAATCCAGCGAAGCAGCTCAGGACTTGCGGGTGGGAGACAAAGCAGGAGTACTAGATGGTAAAATAATGAAATATAATCTGAATATAAAATGATACAATATAAAATAATATTTAGTTTATTTAATAGATTTATATGCCCCCACCATTGCCCTTCCCATCATAAACATAAGTGTAAGCATCTTACAATATATATACTGTGTTTCTCATAAAATAAGGCTGGGCCTTATTTTTTTTTTTTTTTTGAGCCCCGAAAAAACAGCTAGGCCGTCTTTTAGAGGGGTGACTTAATTTCCCCCCATGCGCACCCCCACCTCGCAGCACCCCATGCACAGACTCACCTCGCAACCAGGCTGCTTCTATCGCCCAATAGAAGCGCCCCGAGGGCAGAGTCACCTTCAATTGGCCATTAGGAGCGGCCTCGTGGTGAGGCGTGGCTGCCTGCGGGGTGCTCTAGCCAAGGTTACCCGTGGGGCACTCCTAACGGCAAGTTCCTCCCCCCTGACCTTCCCCTCCATTTCTCTTCACCTCGTGTTGTGATGTGAGAAATGGCGGGGAACGCATGCTTTAAATAGGCTCAATTTTGGGGGCGGGGTTTAATTTTACCACATGCCTATGAAACAGTGCTGGGCCTTCCTATTGTGGGGGGCCGTATTGTTTGAGAAACACAGTAAAAGAAAATACAATTAAAAGAACAATTATAGCTAAATCTTCTGAAATATAACATGCATTTAAAATTGTAGAACATCTTGAAATATCGTAAGACGATAACAGCAGAACACAAGGCAGAATAGCACAGATTTAACCAATAAATACATACTAATCTGGTATTAAAAGCTTATCAGTGTCAACTATAAGGAAACGGGGAGAAAACTTGTCAGCTGGAGGACTTGTATGAGAATTGCTTTTGCTGCCTGATAAATCACTGACAAACATGGAGCCCTGAGAGGGCATCACCACAGCACTTTAAAAGGTAGACAGCAACTTGTGCTTTATAGATTAGGTATGTTAAGGACAATTTCTCCATGTATAGGTATGCAAACTCTCTGTTCATCTGTAACATATTTTTATAATTTGCTTTTTCTGTCTTGATTATTACTGCTTAAGATGCTTATAGTTTGCTCCTTGTTTAAAGAAAATTGATGATGAGCTGTTGGCTTTTTTTGTTTTATTTTGTTTTGTCTTTCTTTACAGTGATAAGATCACATCTGAGCTAATATCTAAGATTGGTGATAAAAACTGGAAAATCCGAAAGGAGGGTCTGGATGAAGTAACCAACATCATCAATGAAGCCAAATTCATACAGCCAAATATAGGTGAACTTGCACCTGCCTTGAAGAGTCGTCTCAATGATTCCAATAAAATCCTGGTATGCTTAAAATGAGTAACAAATTTGTTACAGTCATCCTCCATCCTTAATATGCCAGCTTAATTTAGATCTTATAAACAGAAATGAAACAAAAATGTCACTAAGCATTACTGCCATTTAATTTATTTTATGTAATAAAATATTTTTACAGTTGCTAGCTTGTCTGTTGATGCATCTCATTCTTGTGGGGAAAATGGTCCTGCTGTATTCACTGAACATCAGAGAGGTTACTGTAAAGGAAATGCATTCTCCTATAGTATGCAGAAGAACACAGTTATGCTTTGTTTAATCTATTTGTAGCACATATACCAAAGCACAGCTGGGGAGATTGTGTAACTTCCTCTTAATGATGTTTCTGTTTTTCATGAAAGGCTAGCATAGAGAATCAAAATCTTGTGATTGAAATCAAATTGGAATTAGATTACAGCAGGCAAAGAGGCCACAAGGATACTGCAGATTTTCTTTATAAGGGAGTTTTTGTCCTTGATTGGGAATTTTGGAGGTATTTTAAAAGAAATACATAACCTTATGTGGAATACTGCACCAGTATTTTTTCCTTACAGGTAGTCCTTGACTTACAATCATTCAATTCAGCAATTGTTCAAAATTACGACAGTGCTGAACAAAGGGACTTATGACCTGTACTTGAAATTACAGTTGCTATAGCACTCTGCGGTCACATAATCAGAATTCAGGTGCTTGGCAAACCTCTTGCCCTTACAACTGACCACGAGGACACTACAACTATCCCTACCTTCCTATCTTTCTCCATTTTGCCCTGCTGGATCTACTTCCAACCAGACTGGGTTCACACAAGCTTTGGCCTGCTTCCTACCGTTATACTGAGTCCCATATACCCTTGAACCTCCCCCACCCTGTCATGCCTTGTTCCACTTACCTCTTCCAAAGAGCACCTTTCCAAGGGTGCCCAGGTGACATTATGCATGGCCTTCCTGCTGGGGCCACCGTGGGCCACTCTGCAGGCAGTCACCATTTGCAATCTCAAATAAAATGGGAAGCTTTGCAAGGGATGCCTCTGGATAGAGGGGCCCTGGGAGACCCACTCACTGAGGCACACCAGACTCTGCTTAACAACCAAACAGTCACCTAACAACTGCAAGAGGAAAACCTGTAATTGTGGTTATTAAGCAAGACAATCATGTAGGTATCTTGCTTAATGATTGCAATGACTTAGGGCCATAATTCTTGGCTTGATTGTGGTCCTAAGTCAAGGACTACCTATACTTACTAAAGAAATCTTGATATGCTAACTACAGAGGAAGCCAGAGATTGCAAAAAGTTTTGCTCACCTGTTTTGAACAGCTGTTGAATGTAGCATCTACCTATGTGAATTTACCACATTTTCTCCAAGTTCTATAGTTCGAAGTGGTTGTGGCAGCTTATTACATTTGATTGGGTTAAGGTAGAATTATCTCTGTTTAAGATCTCGTTCTTCAAGCTACAAAAAAACCCTTCAAATCCTGTGAAATGATACTGTTGTTTTGTTTTTTAACAAATTGAAAGCTCTTAAGACAGGCACATTCACACTCTTTTGCCTTCCACTCAGGTACAACAAACACTGACCATCCTTCAGCAACTGGCCACTGCTATGGGCCCAAATATAAAGCAACATGTGAAAAATTTGGGAATTCCTATCCTCACAATTCTTGGAGACAGTAAGGTAAGATTGGTGTATTATTCTGATGGTACTCTTTGAGATTATATTATCCACAATATACATTCCAAGCTCTGCATTTGACAGTTTTAGTTTCTCATTGAGAAAGTTGAATTTGAAGAAAACCGGACACCGGATGGACATCTGACAGAAATGTGCTGTCTATGTACTCTCTTGGAAATCTTGAATTTAAGGGCTTGACTTGAGAAATTCCTTCCCAATTCCTTTATTCTGAATGTTTTATCATCTAATATTAGTATGCCTTCTGTTAAATTTATTTGTTACTGAGTGATAAAATAGGCCGAATAAAAGTTAATTCTGCTGAAGATGAAAGTTGCCCATATAGATTAGAATAACAGATTAGATTAGAATAATAGTTGGAAGAGACCTTGGAGATCTTCTAGTCCAGGGGTCTCCAACCTTGGCCGCTTTTAAGACTTGTGGACTTCAACTCCCAGAATTCCTCAACCAGAAGCGCTGGGGATTATCCAGATTGAATTCTGGGAGTTGAAGTCCGCAAGTCTTAAAGTGGCCAAGTAGGAGACCCCTGTCCAACCCCCTGCTTAGGCAGAAAACCCTATACTATTTCAGACAAATGATTATCCAATCTCTTCTTAAAAACTTCCAGTGTTGGAGCTTTTACCATTTCTAGAGGCAAGTTTTCGTTATGTGGTGTTAATGTCCTAGCTTCAAAAATTGGTAATAAGGTGTGGTCATTGTTACATCTTATTGGGGTCTTAGTAGAAAACTGAAGGAATGTAAATAACTTTCCAATTAAAAATAGCAAAATGCAGATAGAATAAATATGAATAAGTCTTTGGATTTGCATCTAAATTACTGCCCATCCTATTTCTGGGGTAAGTGGTTCGAAAGATCTGTTTCCTGAGAGTATGCACCTTCTTGAACTTTAACACATGCATTTCTTGTGTTGCATTAAATTAGCACCTCAGAGATTCAGTGGAAGATTATCCTCTCTTTAAAAGTGTTAAACACTTGATTGTTTCACAATAATGAATATAAATGATAGATGGACAGATGCAAGAACCTTATCTAGTTGACTTTCAATTTTCTGGAATATACATAAGTTTGTGTATTTGTGCATGTATATATTATATCTTATTTTCCTTCTCCTTTCCAGAGCAACGTACGGGCAGCATCATTAGCAACAGTAAATGCCTGGACCGAACAGACGGGCATGAAAGAGTGGTTAGAAGGGGAGGATTTGTCAGAAGAACTCAAGAAAGAGAATCCTTTTCTAAGGCAAGAGGTGAGGATTTTAGTCAATGCAGTCAGTTTCCTTTTGTACTATTATCTTGGAAGAAGTGTCAATTCAGTAGAGATGTGCAAAGCAGTCCGTGCACAATATACTATGCTTCAACTCATCTGTTCGCAGTCCAAAATGTAGCAGTTCTCCTCTGGGTAGAAATAGTTCTGAGAAGAGCAGGGAAAAAAATGAAGACATTGGTAAGTGAGTGTTTTGTGGCTAATTGCACCCCTTGTGACAGGTGGTTTTGAACAGATTAGTGAAAAACTTCACAGTATGTTATTAACATTCTAAAAGAGAATCCAAGGCATAAAAGGTGATTATAATAAGGTGTTTTGTTGTCGGGAGAAGTATATTGAATCAGTTTCTGCATCCATTTGCTTAGAGAGATAGCATTAACTGGCCAGGAATGTATCAAATCTTTATCTACAGGTTTCTCCTCATTGTCTGTTTCAAAACTTTTATAAGATTCCTCTCCTAAAAAGTGTTTTATTCTACCAAAAAAGAAGAGAGAAGGGAAACAACATATTGCTTCTATTTGTTCTCCCTGGTGGCCTGCTCTCTGTGGTGTCTTGTTAGTCAGCTGTTGCTCCCTTTCACTTGTTTTATTTTCCGAATCAATTATTAGTAGATTAGTGGATATCTGCTTTTTAATATACCAGTTTCACTGACTGTTGACCCAAAATGCTACCAGTTTTAATTATTCATATGTAAATTTGTATAATCTTTACTTAGAATACAGTGTGTTCCTTTCTAAGAATCTTTTCTAACTTTAGCTTTTAGGTTGGCTTGCTGAAAAGTTGCC